CACTTGGACTTCTCCTTCTTCTAGGGCCTCTTCTATTCTCCAAGACTTCAAGAAGTCTATCAAACTTCCTTTCTAGAGCATCCAATCTAGAGTGTTCATTGTAACTTTCATCATCTTCATAAAAGTACCCATCATCCATGTTTCTAGATAGAAAGCTTATATCTTTGAGAGAAAAATTCAAATTTTGTAGGAAAAAAGATGAGATCTTTTGAGAGGGGAAAAGAGAAAATCAAAAGGTAGGATCTTTCTAGGCTAATAACCTAGGCTCTTGATACCAAATTGATATGAAACAACCAAGAAAAATCAATATTCAATCCAAACTTCAACGTTCAAGATGTAATTTGAGTGAGAACAAATAACAAAGATAATTTTTTATCACACCAATCACCAAGTTTTATGGAATAAGGGTTTAATCAAAGCCTAACACAAAGTATGGCAAAGATTAGAGGAGAAATCACATAGATTTCAATAATTAAGCAAAAGTTCATCCCAAAAGAAAGCTTCGCCCCTATTTAAAGGCTTTACAAATAAACCCTAAAGTTCTTAAATTACACCCCTTGGATTACAAATGAAAGGCAAAGATAAAAAGATAGCAAAAAGAAGCACAAAAGAAAAGAAGTTGTCTGCTCGAAACAGGGCCTCGGGAGCGGCTTCTCTAAAGGGTAGGAGCGGGCGCTCATCACTACTGAAACTTCAAGTGATGCTCTTAGGAGTGGGTGCTCCTATTGGGGGAGCGCGCGCTCCTCGTGACTACCTGGACAGCTCAACTTCAAACATTCATAACTTCTTCGTTTCTAGCTCAAATTGGGCATGTGACCTGTCGTTGGAAAGCTCTTGTACTCTACTTTCACCTCCAACTTGAATCACCTGAAAATTTTTTGTAACGAAGAAGATATAGCTTATTGAATTTGATAATTGCATGTTTTTACCAAATAAAAGCTTTTCTTTCTCATCCTTGTTCCCATGCTTCATCTTCAACCATCAATTGTAAAATTAAGACACAGGGATCACTTTAATTCACCTAAGCCACGTTATAAGATAAGAAATCTATCCAAAAAGTAGATTAGAGCCATAAATGCCACTAAACAGGTAATATAGCCCTATAACATGTAGGTTTAATGAACGTTCTCGCATCATATACAGTCAAATGTACATGACTTGAAGGTACCGAGCAACACCTATACAGTCAGATACACATGACTTGAAGGTGCAACCATCGACATTTCATCATCATCACCAACGCCCATACAGTCACATACATACGACTTGAAGGCGCTATTATCATCATCCACAACTTCTGTTTGGAGATAATCGAACATCCCTTTTCTTAGGAGGCAATCGAAGGCATTTATCAACACTCAGTGATCATCCCGAGGCGCGGACGGTTACTGTTCATACTCACATTGTAAGCTTCTCGAGGCGCAAAGGCTTATAATCTTTCATCAACAAGCATGTTTTCCTGAGGCGCAAAAAATGGTCAATCACTGCATACTTCTCGAGGCGCAGTGGTATGCAATTATGTCCCGGGGCGTGGACACCTTTTTTTAGTGTAATTCCCGAGGCGTGAATTTTCACTTGTGAGCTACTCGAGGCGTAGGAGTTCACGATAGGTAATACTATCATTCATCATCCTTCCTGAGGCGCAGAAGATCATCAATCAGTAGGCTGCTCGAGGCGCAGGAGTCTACGACATGTTTCCCGAGGTGCGGAGACTTGTCACCTCTTTTATTTAGTGAATCGCTCGAGGCGCAGTGGTTCACGATAGGATTCTTGAGGCGTAGAAGACTATCATTCAATATCTGGTAGATTTCTTGAGGAGAAGAAAGCTACCAAACGTATTTGGCGCCAACACATTGGTTTACGATAAGCATTCTATCCCCTTACTCTTTTATCTTTTGAATTAACATTTTTTCGTAGGTATCGACATAAACAAAATGATTTAAGATCGCTGAACATCTTAGATCATTCTCCGTTCCAATCGACTACTTTGACTATTGTTTTCGAACCTGACGTTTCTACAAACTCAGTCAAAGTGGGGGCTTCTGTAGACATCTAAAAATGTCTCCCCAAAACCAAACCCGATGATGAACAACCTTTCACCGCCATTATTGGCCGGGTCGAATATTTAATGTCGAAAGTGCTTAAAATCCATATTCAAACCAATACAGTTTACAAATCAATCCACATTTCAGTCCAAGTATTTAATCAAGCCTTGTCCAATTCTCATTTTATCCTAAACCGTTTTTAATGTATTTCGTTTATATTTTAATTGAGCCCAATTAATAATATATCAAAACCCTAAAATAAGTCCGAAATGACAAAACGGCGCAAAATTATCCCATACTTTATGTAAAACAAGATAAAAATGATTTTTAAGGAAGTTTCCAGAAAACGAAACCGTCGCGCCACTGCAAAATTGCCGTGCCATAGTAATAAGTATCGTGCCACGACATTTCTTTTAACCTGGGTTTATCTTTTTACGCATTTTTGTCTTTTAAAATGATAAAATATACTACAGTAACAGGTACCGTGCCACGGTGTCTTTGCTATGCCACGACATTTTGTACCAGTGCTTCGACGCCCAATGCCATGGCGCGGTGCATTTTTCTGCTGCGACGCCTTATTTCTAGGGTTTCGGACCTCACCCCTCATTTTACCTCTATAAATATGAGGCTGATTTATAGTCTCGGGGGACCAATTCAGATTCTCTCTTTCTCTCTTATGCTCTAGCCTAAACACTTGCCTTCCCTAATCTCACCATTCATTCTATAAGCATTCCCCAGAGTGAGTACTTTTCCCGAAATTCTATACTTAAATCAAGACATGAAAGGTAGAACTGTTTGAGGGTTTGGCCCCAAATCAACTTTACTTTCATTTGAATTAATTTCCATTTTATTATTTATTTTCCTTGGAGTTACTAACGTGTTTATTATTTTATAGTTACAAGCAAACACAATCAAAGTAAGGAATCATGTTCCTTTTATTCCTATTATATTTCTGACGATTTTTATTATGTTTGTCATCATTAATTGTTAGATTTATTATGGTTAAATTGCTTCCAATGTTATTGTTATTCTTTATATTGATTGATCACCATATTGCATGTTTAAAGGGAATATGTAATTGAATATAACGCCTAATAAGAAAATGTGGACGACCGGTTATGATCCTTTTTAATCTTGTTGTTAATTGAAGTGATCATGATATTTAGAATTACATGTTGTATTAATATTCAACAAATTTAGCCTAATATTAGTTTAGAGCAAATTGAATCATTGTATTGTGTGGCTTTGAGATCAAAGGAATGCTTTTCACAATAAAAATCGAGTAGAGGCCAATACGGGCGAATGTGACTGCACGACTCATTTTGTACCATCATCCCCGAATGGTTCACCATCTGGAGTTGGTAATTTCATGGATTATGAATGGGGTGTAACCTTCATAGGTCAATCGTTGTTTCCTATCGTTTCCTTTATTCGTGGTTGCCTTAAATGATCCGTGAACGGTTTACAAGTTCTTGAAAAACTTGTTGGTAGCTCCTTGCCTTTTTTGTCCCTAATCGTATATGTCAAATCCAACTTCCTATGATTTCCAAGCATAATCACACATCCTTAAGTAGGCGCGCTTCAATTGACGTCTACAACTAGGTACCGATATATTAGTGGTGGAGCTTATATTAAGGGTGTTGTGGTGCAGGGGCGGTGAAGATGTGGTGTCTTATTGTGTATAGTTCGATGGAATTGGGGCGATTTGGGTGATAGTGTTGCAGGTTGGAATTGTTGGCGTGAGGGAAGGTGAAAATTGCTGGTGTGACGTTGTTGTGGTGTTGCGGGTTTGGTGGTGGTGGATGAGTGGTGGAGCTTTGAGTAAGGTGGCGGTTTTATTTGAAGATGGATGATGGTAGATGAATAGTGGTTTTTGAAGTTGGGCCTGAACACATGAAGAGAAGGAAAAAAATAGAGAAAGAATGTGCAATGGAGGGCCCCCAAGTCAGAATTGAAAACAGGCCGGAATAGGAGAAGGGGTTGTGAAACGTACTGGTTTTGTCTTTAATGGATGGTGTTTAGAGTAAAAATACCCTATGCTACGTGGACCAATCAGCGTGTGACACGTGTCACCTTCAGAGTGTTCACCAGAATCAATCCCCTCTGGACACGTGGCACGTACTTCAAGACCCTATAATTAGGGAGATGTTTCCCCATTGGAAACACATTATTCACATTCAATTACAAGAAACCGAGCATATTAATTGCAGATCATTTACTCCCGATCTCGTAATTCGAGAAGATTCTTAACTTCCGCATTTATTACAGACTCCCTTCCCGTTCTAACTTGATCGTTGGAGGCGGAACTCCCCCAACCGAAGTCTCCGTTGTTTTGCAGGTACAGACGTCCGGATTCTAGTCTTGGTGTTGTAACTCTCCCGAATGACACAGAAAACCCCGAAACAGATGGTATTTTTTAATTTCGAAAAACCGGGTGATTAGTTCAGTGAAGGTGCTTTCAGGGGTGGTTATTTATAAAATTTCTTTTTTTTTTTAACAATGGACAAAAGGGGCTACCCCCCCCCCCCCCAACATCCTACAAAAACGCAGCCACATAATGTGCATAGAGCAAACTCTGCTTGTACCTTTGACACTTAAAACTATCCTTTACGAGATCTAAATTGTCAATACAAAATTAATGGCATCGCTTCCGAATTGCTCTTAAATACTTTTAGATGTCTTTGTATCATTTTTTTTAGGAAGTATTTGCATATTTCTTGATTAAGCTTCATTAATGTTTTGTCGTGAACGTGAAATAACTTGATTGGCTCTCAAAGTCGGACGAGTCTTTCAAATCAACAATCCTATCAACAGACACATAATTCCTTACACAGATGTGCAAGACGAATTTTTCAAATTTGTATCCATGTACACAAAAAACAAACCAACAAACAAAACTAAAATCTCTAATATGACAAAACTGAATAAATATTACATAAAGGGACTGACTGTAATTACTATACTATTTGTGATCTTTTTAACCCGTGCTTCTAAATAACAATACAGTGTTATTTTCCATTTTAAATATGGAATAACTAAAAAGAAAAAAGAAATAAGCAGTACGTTTGCAAAAGCTATCAAAGTAGGATAGAGAACCTTATCCTAGCGCCAACCACACAATCCTCTTAGACTCTCAACCCTTCCAAACAACCCACACTGCCTTCTTCCTCACTAGAGCCATAACCATGACAACTCTCCGCTTCACCACACCATCATTCCTCACTCTCACAAACCAACCACAACCACACCCAAAACCCGCGAAACAAATCACTTCATACACCCTATCATCCCAACCTTCTCGACGACAACAATCTCTCTTTTGTACCGCATACAAAGTGGTAGTAGAGCACGAAGGTCAATCCACGGAACTAGAAGTCGAACCCGACGAGAGCATCCTTTCGAAGGCGCTCGATAGCGGGCTAGACATCCCGCACGACTGCAAACTCGGGGTTTGCATGACATGCCCTGCTAAGCTTATAAGTGGAAAAGTTGATCAAAGTGAAGGAATGCTTAGTGATGATGTTATTGAACGTGGGTTTGCACTTTTGTGTGTTGCTTACCCACGATCAGATTGTAGTATTAAAACTATTCCTGAAGAAGAGTTGTTGTCTCTTCAATTAGCTACTGCTAATGACTAATTTCATTTTGAATTTTGTGTCATTAGCTTTGCAGAATTATTATATTACAGTTTTTGTACTTTAATTATTAAGTTATAGGAAGATCTTAATTATTACACTCACTTGGTTTAATTATTTGATTGTGTTACTCTTCTTTTTTACCTGTTCTAGAGATTGTTTTTTATGCTAATGTTGTTGTAGAAATGAGTGTTTTTGGGTGTGTTACCTTTTTTGATATCTGATTGTGTTATGCATTTTTTGGTGCCTAAGATTTAGTTTTGATTATTCAACTTCGGAAGCTTAAGGTTTACAATTTGTTCTGTTATCTGTGCCTAACGTTTGACATAATTTCATATGTAAAGTACCTTTGTCTTTGATAACCCTGTTTTGTGTGTTTGATTTACAAAGTTGGTCAATATGTTTTAGATACCTCATCATAACGATGTAAATGTTCTGCCCAATACATTGTTTTTGGTTATGGATAAAATGACTTACTCTCTCTCTGTGCTTATCCTTATTTACTTGACACAATTTGACCTTTGCATTATTATATATGTACTCACTTTGACTATCTTCTTTTGCTAAGAAATGAAATTAGATATTAGTATTTAGATGTAAAATATTGTAAAGTTTGTACTTTAACAAACATTTCTAGTTAAAGTGTGTCAAATAAACGGTGATAAGTGGAGTGATTTCAAAGTGTAAATTTTATTTTCCAAAAGCACAAAATATTTTCTAGAACCTTAAGATCAGAGCTTGAAATTAAAAAAATAATAATAATAATATAAAAAAAATTTATTACAACACACCTCCACAAAAATTTTAGAAAGATTGATGATATTCTAATACGGAGCAACGGAAATGAAACAAAAGTAAATCAGTTCATAACGAGTCATTCCAAATAAATTAAAAAAATTAATGGTTGCATTCTATTTATAATAAGGAGTCAAATAGAGAAACAAATCAAAATGAAAAATGTGTCAAATATTGTTAGTGCAGGTAGATGTGTCAACTCCGAGGTCTGGGTTGGGTTTGGTGAGGTCGAGTCGAGTTTTTTAAATTTGAGTCATGATGAAATATTGTATTCATAAAAGTCGAACTCTGAATTTATTTCAAGATCGGTTTGAAATCGGTTTGATCGGATTATTTTAACATCTCTAAGTGCAAGTGAGTATTTCAAAAACTTAAAGCACCCAAAGCGAAACAAAAACAAACATAGGAAATTTCTTGTAACCGGAAGAAAAGCTCTAACCACTTAAGCTATTTCTCACTCTTACATAGAAATTTTTTATTTTTTTTTATTTTTGGTGTTTAAAGAGCCACAGGACGGGTGATGAGAATCGATACCAAGATCTCTTGAAACAGGAAAGAGAGGTCTAACCACTTAACTTATTCCCCACTTCGATAGACAATTTCTTTGATAGCACGGGAGAATAGCATAGAATGCAAGTGAGAGACACCCTGTTACACTTTAGCTATTGGCTCAATGTAGCCTTTACTTTTTCTTATTAAAACGACTTAACCCAAACCCACTCCCACTCTCTACCCTATTTTCCGTACGTGTCACTGTCACATCATCCCACGTCATCCCCCATCCCACCACCTTTGCTTTTTTAAGACACCAACACCCCCCTTTCTTTTTCTCTGTTTTCCCTCTCTTTAATCACATTCTCCCCCTCTTTATTACCCATTTCTAGGGTTTCATTTCATCATTTGGTACAAGCAAACACATCGAGTCACTGACTCAGCGAGAGAGTGAGTGAGAGAAAAAACAGGGAGGATTATGAGTTCGATACCCGACCCGGGCGAGCCAACTCAGTATAACTCACCTAGTTTTGAGGATTTCCAGAAGCAGACGTCGTTGATGACGTCATGTACTCTGCTATGGAAGGAGCTCTCAGATCACTTCAACACCCTTGAAGAAGACATTCGTCGCAAATCCGAGGCATTGAAGAGGAAAATTCGAACCCTAGATGATCAAACCAAGCAATCTCTTGAGGTGCTTAAGAAGAGGGAAGTTACCATTGAAGGTTCTGTTGAGATCGCAATTGGTCGAGCTGAGGAATCCAAGAAGGTCGCATTGAGTCTTGGAGTTGAGGAGAGAGAAAATGAGAATGTTGTTGAGATTGGGGAAGTTGATGATGGTGAAGGGTTGTTGATGAAATTGAAGGGTTTTTGTATTTGGATGGATTACGATGGGTTTTGGAGGTTTGTTACTGTCAGGAAGAAGGAGCTTGATTTGCTTAGAGCTAAGATTCCTTTAGCTTTGGCTGATTGTGTGGATCCGCCTAAGTTCGTGCTCGAAGCGATATCCGAGGTTTTCCCGGTGGATAAGAGGGCGGATAAGATTGAAAGAGTGAATGATTTGGGGTGGGCTTGTGTTCTCTTATTGGAGTCTCTTATACCTGTTGTGGTTGATCCCGTGGTCGGGAAAGATCGTTTAATTGTTACCCCTAGTGTGAGGAAGAAGGCGGAGGGTATAGCCGAGACTTGGAAGCGTAGCTTGGAGGAGCGTGGCGGGATCGAGAATGTTAAGACCCCTGATGTGCATACATTTCTGCAGCACTTGGTTACTTTTGGTATTGTAAAGAAGCAGGATGTTGGTCTGTATCGTAAGCTTGTTGTTGGGTCTGCTTGGAGGAAGCAGATGCCTAAGCTTGCTGTTTCTCTTGGTTTAGGTGATAACATGCCTGGTAAGAATTACTTTTATTTTTGTTTTATTGGTATTACAATTATGCAAATTTGTTTATTTGGTGTTGAATTTTATTATATGTTTATGTCAAGGTTGTATTTTTTAAGAGGAATTTATGTTGCATTAACATTCTTGGAACACTAATGAAATTTGTCTGTATGTAAAATGCACATGGTTTTGATTTATTTTATTGCCCTTTTGGGGAATAATATTGTTTCTCTTAAGGTTTTGTGCAGCCAAGTTGGATTTGGTTGCATGTATGAGCTACATTATTTAAGGATCCAAGGATGTGTAATTTTGTGTCATTTATTGTGTTTAGTTTAAGTTGATTTAGGTTTCGAGGCATAATAAGGTCTATAAGGGTATAAAAGCTGTACTTCTCTCTTGTTTTAAAATTTTAATATAAAAGAGGATTTAATATTTTAATTACACTGTCCTTGGCCACCCGTACATGAAACGAGGGGTGGGGCGAAGGGCGGAGGGAGGAAATTTTCTAGGTTATTCATAGTGGAGAAGGTTTTGTATACTGTATAGATGTATAATTCTTTTCCCTCCAAATGATAAGCTGATTGTGTTTGTTCCTGCAATGGAAGATAAAGTCGGAACTTCAATTGCTGGTAGTTTTTTATGTAGTGCTTTCTGTGTAATTTGTGGTTGCATTTGCTGAAGATTTGAGTGGAACAAATTGTTAAGAATTTGAGGGTGGTGGTAGTGATGAATTCCCTTACAACTAATTTTCAGAATGTTTGAAGGATGTAAGTAGGTATATGAGTTCACAAATCTATGACATATTAAACTTTAATTTTGGGTGCACTATTAGATGTTCAGTGTCCAATGTCCTCCTATGATTCTTCTGTCCCTTCTTCGTTTTCCTCCCTGTAGATACGTGTTCAAGATTCTCTGTGGACTTAATTTTTTCTGTAGTAGGTCAATATTTCTGCAGCATTTTGCCTATAAACTCCCTTGAAAAATGCTAATTATGAAGTACCGGACAATATATATTGAGCAACAAAATTAGCCCCAGTGTTGAATTTACTAAAACATGCGTGTGTTTCTGGCATTCTCTGTCTTAGAAGGTAGCATGTCAGAATTTTATTGACGCTACACTGCATATTTATCCCATCCTTGTACTCCAAAAGTTTATTAATCAAAACCGGTTGGGAATTTAGTTTGTTGCTTTTCATCAACCACATGTTAATCTTTGAGAAGAACCAGAAATGAGAGTGTAGGCTCTCCATCCCTGCCTGTTTTTGCTAGGCATGTACCTGAAAAAAAAAAATAAATAAATAAAATTCTATTGATTCTTCAATGTGCCTCCAAAAGTGAAGATATAAGTCCCTTTTATTAATATTTTTCTCTCTGTTTTGGATTGTTAGCCTCATTTTATAGTTTTCTATAAGATAGCAACATCATTTGCTTAAAAAAAAAACTGTTGTGCTATTTGTAGAGAAAAGAAAATGATTAGGCAAGGATGGTATAGATTATAGAAGGGCTATTTTTCCACACAGAAAGCTCTAAGTCCAATCTCTTGGCTGTTACCAAATGCCACTTTCTCTTGGCAATCTTTCAATCATACTCTTTCATTTATTGTGTTTTTGGAAGCATGTAGTTGTATCCTTGTAACAAATGCTTTTTTTAAAGAGAGTTCTGCCTTTACTTTATGCCTCTGTGGCAACAAGGGTTATCAGCTATTAATAAATGCATATCAATCTTCCCTTAATTGGTTGTATGGTAATGTTCTCGTCCTTTACTACCTTTTCTTGTATCTTAGTGCTCTGGGGGTGTTGCACTGAAATTCAATGAAGGTCATCTCTTTTTCAAACGTTCTTGTTTCATAAACTTATGGAAAACTGGAGTTATCACCCTATTATGTTCCGAGCTTCTAAATTGTGTGTAACATTTGCGTTCTATTAGGATCTCTTCTGGCAGAAACACACACACACGCAAATAAAAAGAGAGAGAGAGAGAGGGGGTGGGGGAGAATAGAAAATGTCACACAAATTTAGCAGCATTACCTTTCATAATTCCTTTTCTAGATCCCTAGCTTCATTAGTATTTATGTACTTTAATAGGATTAAGACGTTTGCATCCCTTACGTTTTTAGATTTGCCATATATATTTACATTTCGTACGCAGGGGAGAACTATAACTTTTATTGCCTGGACTAAGGAGTGCTTTTGCTTCTAGTCTATAGAGTTTACTTTCTGCTCTCTTTTTCATAATAAATTGTGACCGGCTTGTGTCTATTAGTTAGATACTGATACAAGTTATTATTATTTGCAGAGATGATTGAAGAATTGATAAGCAGGGGACAACAAGTTGATGCTGTTCATTTTACCTTTGAAGTTGGCCTTGTAGATAAGTTTCCACCTGTCCCATTACTAAAGTCATTCCTCAAGGATGCAAAAAAAGCTGCTGCTGCAATTTTAGAAGACCCAAA